GATGGATTTTAGGAAGATGCCTACTTTTATAATTAAAGGGCAGTAGAAACTTTGGTTCTTTGGGAGGATCTCTTACTAAAACTCATGATTTTCATGACAATAGGGGTGAAGGAGGCATTACTGAAATTGAATACTAGTGAAATTGCTACCTTTTAAAAAGTTTCATCTTAGAGCCAGATTTTAAATTGTGATATTAGGAAAGTACGTGTTTCTCTACAGTCTTTCCCACTGAAACTAAATTAAAATGAGAAAACATTTACTAAGTACTTTATCTACAACTGTTCTATTTCTTGGTTTGGAGGGAATAAAAATATATAATACAGAGAGAGAAGAAAAGTGAGACTAGTTAACATTTGAAATTATTTTTAAAAAATCATTTATTTCTAGTTCAGGGACTCAATAGTTTGTTTTTGTTTGTTTTTTTATTGCCCATTTCTAAACAGGCTTCTGGAATTTAATTTTTATATTTAATTATGTTTATCTCTGATGCTCTTTCTTTCCTTTGCCGTAGAGGGAAGCGGGGGTTACCGCTGCACGCAGCACTTAACAGAGGAAATCAGCCACTCCAGCTGAGCAGGCATGCTAAATGGGCTCCACATCCAGTGTGTCAGCTCATCTTTTCATCTTTTAAAATGATAAGTGAAGTCTATAGCTAAAATGGGAAAAACTATGGAAGTTACTCATAAAAGTAAAATAGAACCACCATGTGACCCAACGATTCCACTTCCAGGAATATATCCAAAGGAAATGAGATCACTATGCGAAAGAAGAGATATCTGCACCTCCCCAGATGTTAAAATATTACTTACAATAGCCAAGGATTGGGACAACCTGTGCTTATCAACATATGATTAGATAAATAAAATGTTATTTGTATATGTCCTACTATTTGCAACAACACAAATGGAACTTGAGAGCATTAAGTGAAATAAGTCACGTAAAGAAAGACAAACACTGTTGACCTCATATACAGGAATCTAAAAAAGCCAAACTCATAGAAAAAGAAATGAGATTTGTAGTTGCCAGAGCCAGGGGTAAGGAGGTTGGGGAAATTGGGGGAAGGTTGTCAAAGGGTACAAACTGCCAGTTATAAGTCAAGGAAGGACTGGAATGTAATGGACAGCATGGTGACTATAATTAGTGATACTACATTGTATATTGGCAAGTTGCGAAGAGAACTTAAAAGTTCTGATCACAGAGAAGAAAAAAATTTCTTTAAGTGTGAGGCGGTGAATATTCAAATTTTTGTGGTAGTTATTTCACAATATATACATCATCATCAAATCATATGTACATCTTAAATTTGTATAATGACATATGGCAATTATATCTCAATAAAAAATGGAAGAAACATTTACAAAAGTAATCTCCGGTTTCCTTTACTCTTATGAATGCAACTGTTAAGACATAATGGCAGCATTTCAGTGTGGCCTGAATGTAGTCATCAACCTGTGATGCTTCTTTGAAATGGGTATGAATTTGAGTGTGAACATCTTGCCTGTTACCCTTTAAATAACATTTGCATTTATAGAGCAAGTCAACACAGCATCACTGGTAGTTTTTAGGTCAGTAAGTGATTTTTCAACGAAATCTCCAAATTTGGAGAAATATCGTACAAAATGAAATTAAATTTTTTTGTTCAGAAGGTGATTTTGAAATCTTTTTGTTCAAAGATTAATGCCAACTTTTAAGGTTCATTCTGTCAACAGCTCTAACATGTGTTGAATATATTGTTTCTTGTAAAAAAATTTTTTACACATGTGTGTAAACACTTCAGCCATCAAACTAAAAACAAGAACACTGAAATTTGGGAATTTGAACAAAGTTGACTTCTTTAACTGAGAATATTATGGGAAAATACTCATAATAAATAGTGTAAAATCCTACTTTTCAAAAAAATTATGCAAACTTTTGGTGATATAAAAAAGCTATAAAGTTAATGTATGGCTTTTGTTCTTAACATTTTTCTAACATCAACAAACCAGTCAAGAATCAATACAAATTTAGAATCAGTTGCATGCTTCTGTAAAAAGTTAGAAGGTGCTAACACTCAATAACAAGATTTCAGATTTCTTACAAGTTTCTCAGGGAAAATTCTACTCTTTAAGAGACATAGAATCCATTCTAAATTCTGGCCACCATAGTTTTCTCTCCCTAATAGAATAAAAAGATAGCTCTTTTTTTTTTTTTCCAGTAATCTTTTTATTGTTGTTCAGTTATAGTTGTTCTCATTTTTTCCCCGATTACTCTCCCCTGCCCTACCCTCCGCCCGTCTCCCATATGCAGTCCTCTGCCTGCCATTGTCTTTGTCCATGGGTCCTTTACATGTTCCTTGACGCTCCTCCTTCTTTCCCCCATTGTCCCTCTCACCCCCCTCTTGTCACTGCCTGTTCTTTATTATTTCCATGTCTCTGGTTATATTTTGCTCACATGTTTGTTTTGTTGATTAGGTTCCACTTATAGGTGAGATCATATGGTATTTGTCTTTCACTGCCTGGCTTTTTTCACTTAGCATAATACTCTCCAGGTCCATCCATGCTGTTGTGAATGGTAGGAAGTCCTTCTTCCTTTCTGCTGCGTAGTATTCCATTGTGTAAATATATCATAGTTTTTTGATCCACTCATTTACTGATGGGCACTTAGGCTGTTTCCAGCACTTGGCTATTATAAATAACACTGCTATGAACATTGGGGTACTTAGGTTCTTTTGAACTGGTGTTTCAGGATTCTTAGGGTATCACCCCAGCAGTGGAATTGCTGGGTTGAAAGGCAGTTCCATTTTTAGTTTTCTGAGGAAATTCCATACTGTTTTCCACAGTGATTACATGAGCGTATTTCCACCAACAGTGCACTAGGGTTCCCATTTCTCCACAGCCTCACAGTACTTGTTGTTTGTTGATTTGTTTATGATGGCCATTCTGACTGGTGTGAAGCAGTATCTCATTGAGGTTTTAATTTGCATCTCTCTGATGGCTAGTGATGCCGAGCATCCTTTCATATGCCTCTGGGCCCTGTGTATGTCCTCCTTGGAGAAGTGTTTGTTCAGGTCCTTTGCCCATTTTGTAATTGGATTGTTTGTCCTCCTGGTGTGGAGTTGTTTGAGTTTTTTACATATTTTGGAGGTCAAACTGTTGTCCAAGGTATCATTGGCAAAAGACAGCTCTCTTAAACAAGTCATCTAGCTGTAGGCAGTTTGTAGAAAGTAAATTTAAATAACCTCAAGTTGTATCAGATTCTCAGTCTTTGTGCGCATGTCACTTCACCTGCAAAAAGGCAGAATAAATGTTAAGCCATGTATTTCAGAAAAGGAAACTTAATTTTGTGTGTTGGTTGTTGGTCCTAGAAGGAAGAAAAATCACCTAGCTCAGGTAGCACGTTATGCTCAGGTGGAAGAGATTCCCCCTCTTCTGAGTCCTCATACCAGTCAGGGTCTCTTTCAGATGAGCCAGTGGGCAAAGAGGAGGGACTGCTACTCTAATTCATTCTTACACGTTTTCTTTTACACTTTTATATTTAGTAGCCCAAGTTGGGCCAAAGAAACGTTGCCCTGAGTTGGATATGATTGGGGGATCGGTGGACCAGAGTGAAGACTATTTCACTCTATCGAGTGTGCCTTCTGCGGTCTCTGGTGAGGGGCATTAGGAAGGTGAGTTTGAGCGGGAATAAGTTGGAATTCTGAATTGAATATGGAGTTGAAGTTAAAATCCACTTATTGCCACATACTTACTTTCAAGAATGTAACACTTGCTTAGATGAAAGAATGGCTGAACTGTTTTTTTAAAGCCTCATTGAGGTATTTTCAGCCAGTGTTTGTTAATGCTTACCAACATAAATTGACTTTTAGAGTAGGTTCTGCTACACATTTAGTTTTTCATTTGGATATATTTATATGTAAGATTGATAGATATGTGAAATATTATTTATGTTCTTTTGTCAAATAATTTGTCTATTTCTTAGATATATTGTCACCAGACAGGGGCCTGGCCCTGAGTGGTCTTCCTCGGGCCAGCTGTAGTGTGTGGGTTTCTGACTTCGTGTAGGAAAGATTTCACAACACAAGTCCAGGTGATTGTGGAGATGCATTTATTAAAGCCGGGGACAATGAAACAGGGAAGGGCTTAGCATAGAAGAAGCAACAGGAGAGCCTAGGCTGGGCTGCCTTAGCTCACTGGGAAGTCAGAGAAAAGGGTGACCCTGGGGACAGGTTCAGGGAATCAACCTGGGACAAGCAGCCAGTGGCCCATTGCCTTAGAATTTAGGAGACTGGTGCCTGTGAAGAAAGGAGTCAGTGGAAGTAGAAGGAAAAGAAAATGGCCTGGGCTGCTTCCCAGAAGGAGAGCGCATATGCCCTGGGTCCTTTGTGTTGATTTTTTTATCTCTTGCTGACAGGACCATTAGGGGAAGTCTCAGGGGAGGGTTTCAGCAGAATATTCGTCATTTTTCCAGATATGTCCTTGTAGGGCTATGGTCTTTACTGAGTGGTTAGCGCCAGGGCAGAGACTCTTCAGGCTTGACGTGGGTTATGGCATCTCCTGCCTGGTTTTGCTGCTTTTCTGGTTCTGGAGATGAAATACAAACGACCAAGGCCTAGATGTTATCTCCTGCAAGGAAAAGTCACCCTTGTGGGGAATTCTGTGTTTTCCCCCCTTGTCCCCCTGCGAGGAACTTGACCAGCTGCACCTGGCTGTAAATTGCTCAGCCATGTGCTCAGCTGTCCTGTCTCAGTTTCCCTTGCCAGGGAATTTTCCTAGGTTTTCACTAGCCTGTCTCAATATGAATAAACCAGTTTTCTCTAGAAACATTTGTTGAAATGACAAGAAAAGAAAAACATTTGAATTAAAAGTTTCTCAAAACTGGAAGAAATGTGAAGTCCCTTGTATAGAGGCCTTTATTGTTCATTTTTTGAACATTGGACCTTCAAATCTAATTTAAAAAATAAAATGTAGGGTTGGAGAAGTTCCCTTTGTGATGACGTGCTTCTTTCCACTGTTTCATCTCAGCTCTGGCACTGTTTCTAATCAGGGCCCATCTTTGCTAACCATCTGTTTCCGTGGCCACCACTGGCGCCCTCACATCTCGGACCCGGACCTATGGCCGGGCTTCTCCACGCCAAGCCCATCCTGTTTCTCTCCTGTTGGCAAGTGCTCAGTGAACCTGAACTCTGGAGTAAAAACAAAAAACACACCAAAGAAACCTTGGCATCCTAAAATCAAGTAAATAATCCTCTAACAAGATTTTAGTTTTGTTCTGTATTATTTTCAAAATTTGCCTAAAATATAAGAATTGCAAACTCCCTCATCTTCCAAATGCATCATCTTTGTTTGAATCTAAGAAAACGTTTCTGTATTTCCCCTGAGACTAGAACCAAGAGAAGGAGGCGATAGTAGAATCAGTATCTTTCAAGTTCCCTACTGCTGCCTGCTCCATAGCAGTGTATGTCTCATTCTGTTCGTGAGCTTAAATATGAGCAAGATTAGGGACGGGAACTGGATTCCAAAGCGCTATTTCTGCATGGAAGTGGGGTGACACGACTCCACTGCACGTTAAACTCGGGTGGGGGCAGGAGCAGGGCTGGTTCTGCAGGGGGCGCAGGGTGGGCGGCGTGTTCTGTTCTCCTGCACCTTTGCTGCCTTTGCAGTGGCCCACGGCTGGGCTGGGGCCAGCGGGAACCGCTGGAGGTGAGCCTCCCACAGCTCTGTGACGCTCCCGAGTGAGTCTGGCACCGGCCCTAGTACATGCAGCTCCTGGAAGAGAAAACAACACTGTAGCCATAAATGACATTTTTTTTGGCAAAAGCAGTGTAGTCTTTTTAAAGCACGTGCTTTGCGTCTGCTTGATTCTCAGGTTGGAGGGTGGTCAATTCTCTGGAACGTGCAGAAGTATATAGGCCATTGAGTGTGCTACGCTTCATTTGATCTTTAAAAAAAATTTTTTTTAAAAAGGTAAATTACACACAGTCCCAAATTGTGCTTCCTTCCCATAGGAGACTCATGTGGAACTCCATCAGAACCCATCAATGGCATGGTACATATAAACAGAGACAGCCACTTGGATGAACAATTAATTATTCTTGTAAGGAAGGGTGAGTTAGGAGCAGTCTCTCTGGAATGTGAGTTCCAGAACAGCAGTGTCAATCTCTGTCCCAGTCTTAGATAGGCATGCTAGACTATTGCCCCCTGTGCTTCAAAAGTAAGCAATGGGTCTTCTGGAAAGAGATGGTAACTTGAACATAGGCATCTGACCAATGGAATATAAAGAAAGAGGAAGAATCTGTATCTGTATTATAAACCAGGGAAGGCACCACACTCCCTGGTAGTACGTGTGAAGGTAGTACATGGGAAACCTGGTAAGGTATCGCTGGATAAAAAATCTGCCAAATCAGTAAAAGGAAAAATGCTCGTTGAGCCCTGCAAACATCTGTAACTGAGGTCAGTGTGTATTATGGCTGAGTTGGAGGACTCTGAGGCAGTTGTTGGGAGGGTAAATCTCATGTAACAGTAGCTCTGGGAAACAAATATAAGCATTAAAGGGCTCGCAGAGTGGGGACACTAATGGAGTTCTTGCTCTTGACTTTTCCTTGGGTCAGTAACTGAGTAAAAGCCATTGTCTCATATTGGAGCAATTAAAGAAAGTTTACTAATTTTTAGTTGCCATAATAAATTCAGAGGGAAACAAAGGTATGTATCTTTCGGTAAAACTGACCTGGGTGACTGCCCCTGACCTATTCTACCCAAAAGATTGTGCCTGTGATCCAGGAAGCTTAAACTAGGATGAACTAACATTCACTCCTGCTCAGTTCTGAGACTGGAGATTTTAACACCTTTCCTTACAATCTCTTCTCCAACCCCTTCTCGCCTCCCATTGTGAAGAAGTCTAGAGCTCTTTCCTGCATGAGCAAAATAAAACAGCATGAATATATGGGAAGATCTGGCAACTGAAAATAAAAGAGAGCAATCTGAGAAATCAGAGAAAACATTCCTCTACAAACAATAAAGGGGATAAATTTCAAAACAGGATAGTAGAAATCTTATATTTGTTTGTTAACATAGAAACTATGAAACAATAAGAGGCATTTGTAAGATTTAATGATCTGACAGCACTAAAATTTATATATTAATAAGTATACAGGAGTCTAAAAAAGCAACAATAATAAGGAGAGTGAATTCTTTAAAGAGAGAGATTATGAGAAAAGAGAATTGTCCAGAAATAAACAAAAAGAAAACATGCTCTCACAGACACATCTACATTTGAGAAAAAGAAAGCAAAAAGAGGTGAAGCATTAATTAGCATATAATGGAAGATATTTTTGCAGGTCTAAAGAAAAACACTCATCGTTTGAATCTTAAAGGCTGACTAAAAAAATGCTCTTGCCCTACATGAAGAAAATTTATGAAATCCAAATACTAAAAATACAGCAATTATTCAGAGATAAACAGAAAAAGAGGAAATCTATAGTGGCATTAATATCCGCCTCCATACACTAAATACCAGAAATTAGTGTTTTGAGATAAAATATTGTGCCATAAAATTTCTGTACTCAGCCAAGCTATCATTTATCTATAAGAAATAGAAGTATAGTCTTACATGAGCAAGAAAAGAACAATTTCTACAAGCAGTAAATTTTTTTAAAGAACTCAAAGAAATATTAAGAGGCACAAAACTAGTTAAATAGAATCACCAACATTGTTCTTAGTATGGATCTGAAACTAAATATAATGACAGGACTAATTCTTAAAAGAGAATTGATGGAATATGAAAAAAATAATAAATGTCATATAAAATAATAGATTTTATCAGTACAGCTAGGAAATTGGGAATGAAGTAAAGAAAAAATTATGCTTATATTACATAGGGGATAAGTAGATAATATATGTTCTTGACATTATAAAAAGGAAATTTATTTCATAGTAGTATAAAATTGAAATATGTAACTTCAAAATTAGAAAGACAATGAAAAGAGCAAAACCACTTGGTCCATGTAACAAAGAGAAGTGAGAGAAGGAAGAGCAAAGAAGCTTTCTATCTCTTGCTGGAAATAGCATTAGCAAAATTAAGAATGGAGTTAGTCTGATGCAGTGCTGAGTTCCAGCCCTCTTCCAGGGTGCACACATCTCGCCTAGGAAGTTCTTTCAGGTCTATTTTATAAGAGCACTAATCTCATTCATGAGGGCTCCATCCTCATGATCAATACCCCTCACCCTCAAAGGCTTCTTCTACTAATACCATCACCTTTGGAGGTTAAGAATTCAATATGAATGGCATCAGGGAAAGGGGGATGGGACACAAAAATTCAGACTATTGAAGACGCTGTAGAGAGAGTGGAAAGACAACTCACAAATGAAGAAAAAATTGCAAATCCGGCATCTGACAAGGTGCCGAATATATAAAGACACTTGCAACTCAACAATAGAAAGACAAATAACCCAATTTAAAAATGGGCAAAGGACTTAAATAGACATTTTTTCACAAAAGATATCCATAATTCATCTGGGAAATGCAAAACAAATTTACTTCACACCTCCTAGGATGGCTTTAATTTTTTTTTTTAACAAACAAAGTACTGGTGAGAATGTAATGTAGAGAAATTGGAACTCTTGTACATTGCTAGTGAAAACAAAGTTGTGCAGCCACTAGAGCAATAGTAAACTGCCTACACTATCGATTATTTTGCAGCAATCAAAAATACTTAACTTGATCCTATATTCAGTCTACTGGGTGGATGTGATATTAATTCAGAAAACAATTTGCAGAGAAGCAGGTAGAGTTGTTCTCAACTGGAAAAGTAATGACAAATTTGGAGGAGGTATTCTATATGCATTTGTGTGTTTGAATATCTTGGAAAAAGTGGAGTTATCGGAGGTGGGGTGAAAGTGACGAAAAATAGTTGGTATTCTATGTGATACATATATTCTAAAATTTTGTTGTTAGATTACTGAAAAATAAATTAAACTTAAATAAGTATGTAGTCAAAGAGTGAATATTAACCTGGACAAATAAAATATACATTATTTTTTAGCAAATCATGGATAAATTTTTCTGTCAAGATGAGGCAGAAAACAGCATAGGAAAAACTCTGAGACTGCACTGCTCTTACTGGCCAGCGTCTAGCATCCTGGTTACCAGGAAACACCTTTTAGTACTTAGGTAGAATGAATAGTAAGCCAACCACGGAGGAGGAGGAAGTCACATCTCACCCCCTAACTCAGCAGTCCGGAGCCTCATCCAATAATAATGCAAGTATTCCAACATCACAAGAAACACTATGTTAGCAAGGGATGAAGACGTCCTTGAAATTCTATGTGGCGTTTCCACTCTCTGGGAAAGAAGGCCTGGACTCTGTGCTTTCATCTCAATGCCTAAAATGTGGGAAAGGGTCCACAGTGCCCATAGAAGCAGCCCATAAATGACTTAGGGTGACTGCCCCAACTTTAATTAACTGCCTCCTGTCACATATCTGTTTTACAACAAGATGACCAAATAGATTCTGGAGCAAGATAAGGATTCAGGCCTGCAGACTCCCACACATACTTAGTCATATCCCCCCAGGAAAGCTGGCACCACACTTACCCGTTAATCAATATGTAGCTTTTTTACTCCCATCCCACCAACTACATGAGTCTTCAGAACAAAGCACTCACTCTCTCAGTGCTCTCGGTGCTCTTGGCTCTCTGACCACCCGGCCTCAGGCCACCCAGGGGCTTGGCGCCCTGGCCTTCAGCCCTCCTTATTTTTGCCTCCCTGCTTTGCCCTGAACCCCTGCCTTTCACCCCCCACCCCCACCTTAGCTAGGTCTGTTCTCTTCCATGGGAACGGATCACTTATAATAAACTCTGATTGCATGGTAACAGATTTGCTGATATATAATTCTTTACATGCGTCAGCAAGAAGAACCAGGTCTCTCCCATCAACAAAGAGACAGATAATAATAAACACAGGGGTATATTTATCCTTATAAATACTGTGTCTCTATTTGTAAATTCTACCAAAACACTTGTAATTTCTCAAATTTGGGGGGACATATCCAGAAGAGGGATTGCTGGGTCATATGGTAGTTCTATTCTTAATTTTTTGGAGGAAACTCCGTACTGTTTTTCATATGGATGCACCAATTTACATTCCCACCAGCAGAGTCCAAGGGCTCCTTTTCACCATATCCTCTCCAACACTTGTTATTTCTTGTCTTATTAATAGATTTCAGGTGGTGAGGACACCATAGT